CCTGTTCTCTGTTCCTGCATCGTACCAGTACATTATCGATCGGTTTGTATTAAGCCCATATACGTGATAATTAAAATTGCACCAAGAACTTTCTTTTACTTTGATGTCCTTTCTAAGACGAACAAAATAGTCTTATAAGATCACCATAGCATCGCTTTTAACCGTTTAACAACTGATTGATTTTAATGAAGTGTGCTATAATATTTGTCATTGGGATCACCCCCAAACACACACTTTTTAATTTCCTACAATCAATAGGCTATTATCAATATGGGAGATGCACGAAATTTAGATGGAAGTAATACTCAGTATGAAGATGTCCGTCTTCTGAGTTGTTGCACTGTGTAGTCTGGTAGAAGTTTATCAACATTTCAGAGGTCCTTGCTGCCCCCATCATTAGAGCGATGAGGCAGCAAGGACCTCTGAAACGTCGATAAACTTCTACCCAACCACCCAGAAGACAGCTATGTTCAGATTCACCGTCGTGAAAACATCAAATCCTACAAAACTCAGTATTCTATAAGATACTGAAATGACTGTGGTAATAGGTTACTTTAGTTCAAGTAAACTTTCTACTTGGTTTTCCTGTACGTCATTTTTCACACCCTGTGATCACTTGAACAACATGTTTCGGACAAATATGGTCATCATCAGGTTCAGTTCCCTGCCACTATGTTATTGCATCAAGTATCACCTCCGCGATGTCCTGAAATACTGCTAAACCGTTTTTAATTTAGTTAAAACTGGAATTTAAATTAGTAATGGTCACATTGGTCCGAAACAGGTCGTTCCAATGAACAAAGCGTGTAAAACGTAGCAGACCGGGGCACTGCACTACAGACTTAAATTACGTGCAATATGCGTACGATAACATGACGGCCGTGCGAACGTTTATATCGAGCTTTCAGTTTGACAGCGATAACTAACGGAGCATTGAAACTAAGTAGTATATGGTATTTTGTGCGGAGACAGACGACAGATATACCCCACACATTCCGCAGGAAATACGTTTTTATAAGTCAAAAAGTGCGTCAGTGCGAATTTTGAAGATCTATACGGGACATGTAATATAGGCGAAACTCTTTGTTTATGTAACGACGTTTCGCCAGTGAAATACATTCGATAGTTTCAGATAAAGTTAGGGTGTTATGAATCACGAATTTGAGAGAATGTGGCCGTAGCCTATTATAAACTACTTTCCCGGAATTTCTTGTTCGGACCGCGCAAAAGCATGAAAATCCTCGGTCACAACAGCCAGTTTTTTACCCAGTGATCTTAAGAATTTGTGTTCCGTGTCTTGAGTCTGTGTGCAAAGCGCATCCTTAACTCCTGATGGAAATCGTCTATTAATCCGGTTTACCTAGAACAGTTGACGGCAGGTATCGCGCAAATTCCCTTACCACTTTCCGGAATCTAGGTACATTATTGAACCAAACGCTTCACACAGTGAAGCCTCCAGCTTCATGCAACCACACAAAACCACTGCTGCCCCCGCAAACCTGAGATCCATTCACCTCATTTACCACACACTGAGCTACTGTACGTGTTCGCTTGTAGCTGTGCCCCAAGGCGAACACCCGCTTCTATAGAAACTTCTGTACGGTGTCTTTGTTTGGAGACTAATAGGTGTTAGAAACATAAAACAAGAGATAATGAGAGGACTACGAGTAACTACAGCCATAAAGTTATCCTATGTAGACAAATGTGTAAGGGTAGTTGATATTTTACGTGCATTTTTATTTCATTTACAGCGAGTCTGCTTTAAAGTTAATGTTCCTCATCCATGTGTTCAAGGCACAGTGCATAAAACCTAAAGAGAAAAACAAGGAATGAGTAAATGTATTTTTTATTTTACTTTGTTCTTTAAATTTTACTTTGGTATTTTGATTGTTTTTCTTGAATTTGATTTCTGAACATCGGTTTCTTGCATTTGACTCTTGGATTAGGGTCTTTTGCTATTGACTTTGACTTTTTGCCGTTTTAATTTCGTCCCTTGGCTTTATTTTCGATTTTTGTTTTTAATTTTTTGTTTAATTTTTACGTGGAAAAAACTGCGTAATGAATAACTTCATAATTTGTTCTTTTTAACAAATAATTTGAGGATGATAAAATCAAAGGAGATAAATGCCTACAATTTTTGCCGTAAACGTAAAGGG